TTCCAGGTGCAACTAAATTCACCTTTCAAAGCCTCCATTAAACAGAACTAGGGCATCTGCATATAATAATTGGCATGCAAACGGTCTGTTCCCTTAAAGGATTCCCACTTTATGCATCATCAGAAGCCTTCCTTTTCTGCTGCAGGTCCTGCCTTATAGGATCCATTTCCCCTTGAAATTGAATAGGTCCCCATCCTCTTAAACCTCTGAACACATGCTACTTCTCCCAACTATTTGAGATAAAATAAAGTCAGTGCAGGATACGAATCTGGTGGATTACTTCAGAAAAGGGAGGATGCAGCACCAGATAGATTTTCTTTTGAATTTATATTGTTCTTGTTCTTTTTATAGTTGTATGTATTGGGTATTTTTTTTTGGCTCTTGTTGTGTAAGTATATTCCATTTACTGAGGCTTTTCTGTTCTCTTTATATCACATCTTATCCAAAGTTTTTCTTGAAATTTGAAAGACTGTAAAAGAAATATTACTTTCTTTTCTCAGATACCACAAAATGTAACAACTGCCCAGATGATCAATATCCAACCAAGAACCGAATCCAGTGTATCTCTAAAAGAATAACCTTCCTTTCCTATGAAGAACATCTCAGCATCATCCTCATCTCCTTTGCTCTTCTCTTGTTCCTAATCACAGGCTTTGTTTTATTCATATTTATTAAATACCTTGAAACTCCTATTGTCAAAGCCAACAACCGGGACCTCTCCTACATCCTCCTGGTCTCCCTTCTGCTTTGCTTCTTATCCTCCTTTTTCTTCATTGGCCGACCAAGGAAAGCCACCTGCCTTCTCCGACAAACAGTGTTCAGCATTGTCTTCTCAGTAGCTGTTTCGTCTGTGTTGGCCAAAACGATCACAGTAGTGCTGGCATTCCTAGCCTCAAAGCCAGGCAATAAAGTGAAAAGATGGTTGGGGAAGAGCTTGGCCAACTCCATCATCCTTTCTTGTTCTGCTGTCAAAATTCTCATCTGTGCCATGTGGTTGGGAGCTTCTCCCCCATTTCCTGACTCTGATCTGCACTCCCAGCCTGGAGAGATTATCCTTCAATGCAACGAAGGCTCTGTCATCATGTTTTATATTGTCCTTGGCTACATGGGCTTCCTTGCTGCAATTTGCTTCACTGTGGCTTTCCTGGCCAGGAATCTTCCTGGAGGTTTCAATGAAGCCAAGCTGATCACTTTCAGCATGCTGGTCTTCTGCAGTGTCTGGGTCTCCTTCCTCCCTACCTACCTGAGTACTAAGGGAAAATACATGGTGGCCGTGCAGGTCTTCTCCATCTTGGCCTCTGGTGCTGGACTATTGAGCTGCATTTTTTTCCCCAAGTGCTACATTATCATCCTGAGACCAGATCTAAACACTAAGGAACATCTAATGGCAAAATCAGGGGAATGATTGTGAAATTGTTTCTTAGGCTGGTAATGTCTAATTATCCATTATTATTGGTTATATGTTCTTCCTTTGGATTTACTTGACAACTTATGTTTATTAAAACTGAAGGAAATAAATACGTGAAGTTTGTTAGTTAGATGAAAATTAAAGATTGTCAAATACATTAATAATAAACAAATTAAAAACAAACAAATGAATAAATATTATGTTTTTTAAACTATTGGTTTTCATCCTTTTCCTCAGCACAGATGTGAATATTTGGCTTAAGCAAGTCTTCAAGACAAGAGATATATGAGTCATTTCCTGGCTTTATAGTGGTGTAAGCTTGGCAGGTATCTTCAAAGCTAATTAGTGAGGTCTGAATCTCATATCTTTCATGGTTCTTTATGAATTTGTATTTCCATTCCCCCAAGTTATGGGTTCTACTGGGGATAAGAGAGTAAGTGGCATAGCTCTCATCTTCCTCAGAGTACACAAGCCCCACAACCACGTCAAGGTAGTGCCTCACTGGGGGATGATGATGATGATGATGATGATGATTGTTGTTGTTGTTGTTGTTGTTGTTGATCATCACACAGTCAGCCAGACGTTCAGACTGGATTTGGCATTTTGTCTACCTATCAAGTCCTTATCCAGGACCTGGGATAGGCAGATGTGGATGTTTGATGGTATTACAGATATCATCACAGGATTAGGTCGCCTTTTGCAATTGACTAATAGCGAATTTGTCAATGCCAATGGTGTTCAAGTGGTGCTCCTGTTTTTTTGGGATTGCACCCAAGGAGCCTATTACTATTGGTACTACCCTTGCTTGCTTTTGCCACAGTCTTTCTATTTCTATTTGTAGGTCTTTGTATTTTGTTATCTTCTTCAGGTCTTTCTCGTCTATTCTGCTATCTCCAGGCACTATTATTATTATTATTATTATTATTATTATTATTATTATTATTATTTACTGACATAATGTGAGCAGCAACAATAGATATGAATTTGTATAACTATTCCATCTAGATCATTTATAGTTTTGGATAGTCTACATTTCCAAACATTTTAGATGAGAAGAGGAGAAATTAGAAACTTCAATATTTATTTATTTGTTTGTTTGTTTATTTGCAATATTTATTTACAATATTTATTTATTTATTAAATGTTTATGCTACCCATCTCCCTTATAAAGCAACTCTGGGTGGGTTACAGATTATAAAAAAGACAAATAGAAAAACAATTAAAATCCAAATTAAAATTTTAGAACTACTTATAGAAAAAAACTAAGAGTAGAAGCCAGACTGCATAGGGATGATGCCTTCTTACCCTATCAACCACCTCCAATGGTGAATGTCCCTCTTAGGGTTCCAAGTCAACCAGCAAGTCAAGATTTTAATATCTTTTCAGAAGGCCCAAAGAATCAGAGAAGTTCTCACCTCCAGAGGTAGAGTGTACCATAGGGATAGGGCCACAGTGAAAAAGCTGCTTCTCTATCACACACACACACACACACATACACACACACACACACACACACACACACACACACACACACACACCAGAATTTCTTAGCAGACAGGATCTGTAGTTGGCCTCTTCTGCTAGTGTGAGGATAGTCCCATTGGGGTGGGATGGCTCCTCAAATACAAATTTAATAATACAAATTTCCAGCTCAGGATCCTACCCATGCAGTAACCAATCAAGGATTTTATTTGTGAAGAAACTCTGTCTTACAGTAACAAGAATATTGTCAAATCCTGAATTTCCTGTCTCATATATATTACAGTAATGGTGTCCATACATTAGAAGGATGCAAAGATACATATTTTTTTGTCAAGAAATGGAATAATGTGGAAAAATTCTGCCTAGAATAGCCCCACAGCAAGGTAGGCAATAACTACATTTTAGAAAATAAAATAAACATTTCCTTATGTAACGGGAATAAGGCAGGGATCCCCAACCCCAGTCCATGGACCAGTACTGGGCTGTGGTATGCCAGCAATTGGTCCACACAAACAAGCAAAGCCCCATTCACAAGATGCAGGCAGCACACAAAATCATACATCCTCCAGTCCATGGAAAAACCACTCTCTATGGAACCAGTCCCTGGTGACTAAAAGGTTGAGGATCTCAGGTGTAGGGCACCTGGAGATGAGCTATTGCTGAGAAATTAGCAGATGAGACTCAGATGATCAGTAACCAAATACATATAGCAGTGGGCCGTGGTAGGCAAATATAGTGATGGGTATCCTATCTTAGAACTAGATTAGTTAGAACAAAGAACATAGAATAATAGAGTTCGAAGAGACATTGGAGTTCTTCTAGTCCAACCCCTGCATGAGCAGGAGACCCCATACCATTTCAGATATAATGGTTATCCTGTCTCTTTTTGAAATCTTCCAGTGATGAAACACCCACAACTTCTGAAGGCAAGCCGTTCCATTGGTTGATTGCACTCACCATAAGGAAATTTCTCCTTAGTTCTAGGTTGCTTCTGTCCTTGGCTAATTTCCATCCATTATTTCTTGTCTTGCCTTTTGGTGCTTTGGAAAATAACTTGACACCCTCAAATATTGGAACACTGCTATCATTTCTCCCTTAGTCCTTCTTTTCATTAGACTAGACATACCCAATTCCTGTAACCGACTTCATATATTTTAAGCCTCCAGCCCCCTAATCATTCTTGTTGCTCTTCTCTGCACTCTTTCCAGAGTTTCAACATTTTTGTATATATTGTGGTAATCACTAGAACAATTCTAGTTTTACCACAACTTTACAAAGAAGTAAACTTGCAAAGTTCTTAATATATTTAAGGCCGACCCCTGGACACACTGTATATTTTTTAGTTCTTTATTCTTATCAGCTGATCTCTATTATTCAGTTCTGGTTTTACCAATATAATATAGCTTTTGGGAAGAAACATACAAATTAGTAATGCAGCACTGGACACCAAAATGGAGAAGATTTCCACAGCCAGTATGTATTTTCCCTTTGCACTCAAGTATGCAGGAACAAAAGTTAGCCAAACAGAGCAAAACATCAGCATACTGAAGGTGATAAACTTGGCTTCATTAAATGTATCTGGCAAATTTCTGGCAAAGAAAGCCACAGTGAAGCTCAGAAGTGCCAAGAAACCCATAAAGCTGAGGACACAGTAAAACATGACTATTGAGCCTTCATTACATTCCAGTAGAATTTCTTCGGCTAAAGAATGCATATCAAAATCAGGGAATGGGGGAGTAATTATCAACCATATGGTACAAATAACAATTTGGACAAAGGAGCATAAAAAAACAATAGAAGTAGCCAGTGGCTTTCTCATATACTTCCTCATTTGGGAATCAGGCTTTGTGGCCTTAAAAGCTAGAACCACAATGATGGTTTTGGCCAAGACACAAGATACAGCAAATGTAAAGATGATACCAAAGGCACTTTGTCGAAAAAGACAGGTCAACTTTCTGGGCTGGCCAATGAATAGTAAAGCACAAAGGAATGAGAGCAGAAGAGAAATAAGGAGAGCATAAGTGAGATTCCTGTTATTGGCTTTGACAATGGGAGTACCCTGATGTCTAATAAATATCAACAGCATCAATACAGTAATTAAAAAAAGTGAGAGGGCAAGAATAGTCAAACCAAATCCTAAAGGTTCTCTATAAGACAGATAAGTGATATTTTTCAGAAGACATCCATCTTTAGCATCATTTGGAAATTGTCCTTCTGGACAACGAACACAGTCAACCATGTCTGGAAGAGAAAATATATATGAACAATTTAATTCATTTCAAATATTTTTTCTGTAATGACAAAACTATGAAGGAGATAAATTGGATTAAAATTTTAAATCTTATCAGTCAACTTTAGTAGAAACAAAACAAACCTTAATTATCACTTATAAAAATGGTGAATAAATTTATTATGAATGTTAAACCTTCTCCAACAGTTCAAGTTGGAATTATCTATAGACTGTGCATGTCTTTCCCACCTTGTGAAGGACCAACAGTTCAAGTTGGGATTATCTAAAGACTGTGCATGTCTTTCCACCTTGTGAAGGACCAAATACAGGATCCTTCACTATTAATTGAATGAAGCCAGGCTTAACAAGTTCTTGATTCCCTTGTTACAAATAGTTACTTCCATCCACTATGGTCCAGTAAGCTGTCTTTAACTCTTGTTTAATTCTTTATTGCTCTGGCAATTGATTATTGGAAAAGACCTCAGTCCCTTTCGTCTCACAGAATAAAGAGAGTAGCGTAATATGTACACTGGGTGGGCCAAATGGTTTGGAGGAAATGGTGGTCTTGCAGTTTCAGGCCTTCAAAAAAAAAGGCCAAGATAAATATTCCAAACATAATGTTTAAGGATTAAATACTTATTGTTTTGTTCTCCTTCTCCATGTGTTTGCTCCTTCACAAATTGGATAGAATCTTTAACCCATACTACAAAACCCAAACTGAACTGTTTAATATGATGCTAATGAATTACATACATCATTTTAAATGCAAAGGAACTGCATGTGCTAAATATCAAAGCATTTGAAAATTCTAGGTTCATTTTTTCTCACCTTTCCGGGATGAAATCTTTCCTTCTGGACATGGAAGGCAATCATAACAGCAAAAGGGCTCCCCCTCCTTCTTCATTTTATAAAATCCTTGATGGCAGTTATCGTTACATACTGAAATAGGTTGTGTCTTAATGTAAAAAAATCAAGTAGTTGTATCAATAAATATGTATCAAACATATAAAAAGCAAAACTAAATCAAATAAATAGCAATATTCATTTACTGCACTGTATGATTATTGTTTCGCCCAATTCTCATGCTCTTCATAAGGGATGGTTCTAGTGAGTTAGGCTGTCACTTAACTTCTTTAATAATTGATATTTATCTCAAGATTGCCTTAAACCTTCATTTGGATAAATGTCACTTAAGAAACCTGAGAAAATGTGAAATTAAATACTTTTATGTTCCCCAAATTGAATGTTAAGAGAATACCCTTTCTCTTTTCGTGCGTAGAAGACAGCATGCTGACACATGTGTGAAGTGTTGCCTTAGAAGCGTTAGGAAAGATTATGCTGTATATTATCTCTTTTTAGCCCATTAAGGTGAGGAGGCAAAACTGTTTGGGAGACTTCCATTGCTCCTCTGCAATCCAGCTTCTAGGACCAATGCCAATGATTTCCTTGACCAAACATGGCTACGACATCTGTGTTAGACATGCATGGTAGTCCAGACAGGAAGCTTAGATGAACTAAGTCTACTTTATTGTAAGATTATGCTAACAAAATTTTGCAAGTCTGAAAGTACATGTCTCCCTTTACTCATCAAAAAACAAGGGACAATCCCTTCTGAGATTTTTGCCATACCCCTTTGCTTCTGTGGGCTAAACTACCTCTTATCTGATTGGTCCCTTGTCTTGGCTCTTCCCAAGGTCATTCCCATATACTATTACATTTGGAAATACCTCAGGAAATAGGTGGATCCTTACATGATTGAACTTCTTGGGCCATATAATGCTATTGTTGTTAATGGAGAATATACTCTTTGAAGAAGCATATGGGTCAATCTTTCCAACTTTTGCTTTCAAGAAAGACTGATTTGGGAATGTTATCCAGTTGATAATATCAAATCCAGCTTTTCTTTCTCCACTTTGATCAAAGGAAATTTTCTCTCCAGCACTGTTGTTGAATGATACTTTTCGTAGAATGTGATGAAGCTAAGATCAAATTTGGGGAAAAGTTTTAAAACACCAGGCAGGGATCAACAAGGAGATAATATTCTATTACTGAATATTTTAATGTCATAATTTTTAAAAATCAATATAGAATTGCTAATATATCTTGTGAGACAGAGGAAATCGGGAACCAAGATCATTCAAATGAGTACAGGTTTATTCCATGCTATCTTTTTGCAGGTATCTGAACTACTAATGGTCAAAGCAAAATAGTGGCAGATAAGAGGACAGTGGAACCTTCAGAAATCATGGGTGCTCCATCACTGGACGTTCTTAAGAAGAGACTAGACAGTCACTTATCTGACATGGTACAGGTCCTTCTGCTTGAGCAGGGGGCTGGACTAGAAGACCTCCAAGATCCCTTCCAGCTCTATCCTAAGAGTCAGTGGAACTCAAGGAGGGCTAGACTTAGATCTTTTAAGGGCATGAAGGGACTCCAAATTGATGATGTCCTTGACCCCCTCCATTGGGCTCAGCCTAGTCAACTCCTACAATATCCTATTAAACTAGAGCAGTGGTTCTCAAATTCAGCAACTTAAATGTGTGAACTCCAACTAACTGAAGAAGTCTGTAACTTAAAGTCTATGCATCTTAAAGTTCATGTGGTTGAAAAATACTGGACTAGAAGTACAGAACTGACAAAAGTAGTGTTTTCTTCCAGTGGGGGAAAAATGAATTGCAGAGAAATGAATTGCAACATTGTGGAAATTAGTACACATAAAACAAATATTTATTTCTAATCCAGCATTTAATTTTTTCTGGGAACATCCATGAGAGTATCTCTTGAGATCAAAGTGATCTTTAGGATCAAATCAGCTCTGATCTCTGTCTCATTATTTTTTAGTGAGTGACTAAATATCAGAGACTGAAATGGGGATTCTCAGATTGATACAAAGTTTGGAGTAGAATGGAGTTGCCCATCCAAAGTCAACAGAGGGAACTATATTGTTCTCAATCCTGTCTGATAGTAGTAATAGTAGTAGTAGCAGTAGTAGTAGTAGTAATAGTAGTAGTAGTAGTAAAGTTGGAAGGGACCTTGGAGGTCATCTAGTCCAACCCCCTGCTCAGGCACGAAACCCTACGCCGTTTCGGACAAATGGCTGTCCAGTCTCTTCTTAAAAACTTCCAGTGTTGGACCATTTACTGCTTCTGGAGGCAGGCTGTTCCACTGATTAATTGTTCTCACTGTCAGGAAGTTTCTCCTTAGTTCTAGGTTGCTTCTCTCCTTGATTAGTTTCCACCCGTTGCTTCTTGTCCTGCCTTCAGGTGCTTTGGAAAATAGCTTGATTCCCTCTTCTTTATGGCAGCCCCTGAGATATTGGAATACTGCTATCATGTCCCCCCTTGTCCTTCTCTTCTTTAAACTAGACATACCCAATTCTAGCAACCATTCCTTATGTTTAATAGTGCCCAGTGTTCAAGTCTGTCCAGATCCTCCTGTATCCTAAGCCTGTCTTCTGGAGTGTTAGCTATTCCTGCCAGCTTGGTGTCATCTGCAAATTTGATGAGTTCCCCATCTATCCCTTCGTCCAAATCATTGATGAAGATGTTGAAGAGCACTGGCCCAGAACAGAGCCCTGGGGCACCCCACTACACACTTCCCTCCATGTAGATGCAATTCCACTGAGGACCACTCACTGAGCACGGCCGGTCAGCCAGCTACGGATCCATCTGGTAGTGATGCTGTCTAACCTGCATTTTTCTATCTTATCAAGTACTAGGTTGTGATCTACTTTGCCAAATACCTTACTGAAGTCCAAGTAAATTATATCCACAGCATTCCTCTGATCCACTAATTTGGTCAAAAATGCAATAAGATTTGTCTGGCATGATCTGTTTTTGCAAACCCATGTTGGCTTTTAATAATAACTTTGTTTGCCTCTAGGTGTTTGCTGATTCATTGTTTAATTATCTTTTCCAGAATCTTCCCAGGTATTGAGGTCAGGTTGATAGGTCTGTAGTTTCCTGGATCTAATTTTTTCCCTTTTTTGAAGATGGGAACTACATCAGCTCTTTTCCAATCCTCTGGTAGTTTCCCAGTGCTCCAGGATCTTTGAAAAATATAGTTCAGTGGTTCTGAGATCACATCTGCCAGTTCCTTCAGAACCTTGGGGTGTAATCCATCTGGCCCTGGTGATTTGAACTCATCTAGGGTGGACAGGTGCTCACTTACTTACTTTCTTGATTATCTTAACTTGTGTTTCTAATCTGTTATTTTATGTACTGTTTCTGATAGGTTGGACTGTCCCTTTGTGTAAAGACAGATGTGAAAAATGAGTTAAATAGTTCTGCTTTCTCCCTGCTTTCTCACCTTCTTGCCCCTTTTTCGCCATTAATGGACCAATCATTTCATTAACTTTTTTTCATGTTTTTTACCTATTGAAAGAAGCTTTTTTTGTTATTTTTGACTTTGGTCACAAGTCTTAGTTCATTTTGAGCCTTAGCTTTCCTCACTTCATCTTTGCAGGCACGGGCTATTTGCTGATATTCTGCCTTAGTTAAGTGCCCCTCTTTCCATTTTTTATACTTGTTCTTTTTATCTTTCAGTTTATCAGAGATTTCTTTATGCAGCCATGCTGGTTTATTTTGAGAGCTGTTATTTTTCTTCTTGGTTGGTATTGTGCTAGACTGGGCTTTTATTATCTCACTTTTCAAAATTTTGCAAGCTTCTTGAGTTGTTTTCCCCTTGAGGATTCTCATCCATGGAATCCTTCCCAAGCCCTCTATAAGTTTATTGAAATTAGTTCTCTTAAAGTCCAAGACTCTAGTTTGACTGTGTTCTATTGCTTGTGCTTCCAGAATGTTGAATTCCAATATTGCATGATCACTTCCCCCCAAGGTTCCTGTAGCTTCAACACCTTCCATCATTTCATCTCTGTTACTGAGGATTAGATCCAATATGGAGGCTCAGTAGATTAGAAAGGCTGAACCGGACACATAATTTCTACCTGAAGAGTGCCGATTACAGACCCTAGATAAATAATCTGTCCTTGTAGACTTGTGATTTGTTTACAGATAGGACAGTTTCCCAGTTTGAAAAGAGTACTGTGAAAGACAGCTGCAAAATAAGGCAACTGAACTAAGCCAGACATTCTGAGATGAAAGGAATCTCAGACACACTTGCCCTGAATGTACCACTGCTGTTTTTGATTTTTAGTTAATTAGGTTTAGTTAAACCTCTGGGCAGTTTAAATGCAATGGAGGTCCAATCAGCAGAGGCTCAGCTACTTTCCTCTCCACCCTCCTCCTTCTTAACTCACAGATTGTAGCTCTTCCCAGCAATCTCTGGGCAGTTTAAATTCAATGGAGGTCCAATCAGCAGGGACTCAGCTACTTTCCTCCTCCACCCTCCTCCTTCTTAACTCACAGATTGTAGCCTATAAGTTATACCTTTGCATATAAAGCTACGATAAGCTATTTTCCATTTGTGATATAAAATAGACTAGAAAGAACAGAATAACAGAGTTGGAAGGGATCTTGGAGATCTACTAGTCCAACCGCCTGCTCAAGCAAGAGACTCTATATCATTTCAGACAAATGACAGTCCAGACTCTTCTAAAATGCCTCCAGTAATGGAGCACCCATAACTTTTAAAGACAAGTCTGCTCACAAGTTGTTCCATGGGTTGTTCCACTGGTTAATTGTTCTCACTGCTAGGAAATTTCTACTTTAGATCTAGGTTGCTTCTCTCTGTGATTAGTTTCCATCCATTGCTTCTTGTCTTGCTTCTGGTGCTTTGAAAAATAGTTTATCCACTCCTCTTCATGGCAGCCCATCAAATATAGGAACACTGCTGTCATCCTGTATTTACATTTAAGGGCATATACTGTACCTGCCAAGAGTATTGATTGAGAAGTTTCTTTCTCTGCCCCTTTACCATTATTTTTTCCTTGAATTTCAAGAAATGTATGTGGTGCAGAGCATGTGCTATAGCATAGACGGCATTGTACATGCTATAGCTATGAGCAGACATCTTCACTTCAAAAAGAGAACCAGGAAGAGACTCCAGTTTTTCAAACCCAGTGCAGATTTTCTCAGACGTGTTTTCTGAAGCGAGGCTTGAGAAAAAACATTCAAACACACTTTCCCAGAAGCTCTGGATAAAACCGTCTTCTTTATCTGAGATAGGATTTCTGGTCTGAAGGAACTCTCGAAATCCCAACACTTTCTTTGACTGGACTGCCAAGGACATCGCACCAAGAAGGAAGTCTATGCTCCAGCTGCCCTGGAAAGCAAAGGAAGTGAAATCCATTTGAGCCATCATCATCCAGACTTTATCACCTGGCTTTGAAGATATATCCAAATATACTGAACTTGCTATCATGAATCTCAAAATTGGCATTGTCTGAATTTCTCCATGTATGAGCAAAACATTGGAACTGTTTCTCATAATGGTCTTGTAAGTTGCAAGTCCTTCTTCTATAAGTTTCTGCATTTCCCCCGTAAATCCTTGTTTGGGGAGCCTTTGTATGAAGTCAAAACAAATGCCCTTCTCAGAGAAAAAGGGAAGGACATTCTGCACAAACCTTTCCCCGTTGTCATCATCAAGGTAAAGCACCCCAATCCATGTCCATCTGAAATGCAGAAGTAAGTGCAGGATCCCATTATATTGATGAGTGCCTCTTGGGAACATCTGTTGCACAAAGCCAGCTTGGCTTCTGTAATGCAGTACTGGAGCAGATCCATATGTAACCTTTTTTAAAAAAATAAAGAACAAAAATATTTTTGAAAAATTATGTCATAATATCTATGGGTGAATATATTTGGTCACCACAATATTTTTTAAAAAAGATATTAAGACTCTAGAAAGAGTACAGAGAAGAGCAACAAAGATGATTAGGGGCCGTAGGCTAAAATATACAAAGAATGGTTGCTGGAATTGGGTAGGTCTAGTTTAATGAAAAGAAGGACGAGGGGGAACATGATATCAGTCTTCCAATATCTCAGGGGCTGCCCCAAAAAAGAGGGATTCAACCTATTCTCCAAAGCATCTCAAGGCAGGACAAAAAGCAATGGATGGAAACTAATCACAGAGAGAACCAATCTAGAACAAAGGAGAAATTTCCTGACAATTAGAACAATTCATCAGTGGAACATCTTGCCTCCAGAAGTTGTGTGTGCTCCAACACTGGAGGTTTTTAAGAAGAGATTAAGCAACCATTTGTCTGAAATGGTATAGGGTTTCCTGCTTGAGCAGGGGGTTGGGTTAGAAAACCTCCCTTCCAACTCTGATATTCTGTTAATATATCTGTAATAATATAGCTGCCATGATCCTATGTTTTCATGTGATCCTGTTTTCTATGAGACATCAATAGAAAACAATAGAAGATAGCAACAAGAAAAAACAGTTTGCCCAAAATACTTCTGTATATGTAAACACGTTAGTGCAAGTTTTTGATCACAGAAAGCATTGCTAGTTATTTTTAGATTCTAGCAACTAAGTCTTCTAAATCAAATTATGAAAAGTCAAGGATAAAATCTATTACTCTCAATTTTGGCAAATTGGAAGGTGTGCCCTTCTTCTGCAAAGAAACGGGGGACATGAGACAAATTTTGATCACAGGAAAAAATATTTTAGTCTCTATAAGCAGAGGAATTCTGACATTCAATTATGAAGGATGAAAGTGAACATATGAGTCTCAACTCTAAAAAAGCCACATAGTTTTCCCCTTATTGTAATAAAGCCAATAAGGGAAGCGTGAGAAATATAGATGTCCTTTACCTGTGGAATCTTGTAGAAACCAAGGATGGTGGCCATATGGAGGCAGACATTTGAGTTAGGTCCCCCAATGACGGCAACTGCATTGTTTCTCCTGTCACACTTGTAGTTTGGAATGAACCTCTTCTGGGTGGAGAGCAGTTCCATTGAGGCAAGATAAGTCCAGCTTGCACTGAAATGGCTGTTATAGATCTGGAAGCCCAGAGTGATGTTTGGCAAAATATGTGGGTCTTCATTGATTTTTTTCACAGCAAATACCAGTGCCAGGATATGCTGGTAATGCTGAGTCAACACCCTACAAAGAAGTACATAAGACATAACCACACATTTCAAAATTGCTAAATGTAGCAAAATACGTATTAAATATATATATCAAACAAATGATGCTATATCTGAGATAAATTATGTAGCTGTTATGGCGGGAAGGGTAACTTGGGAGAAAACAATGCACTCTGGTAAGGTATCCCTTTTTGAAATTTGTATGTGAATTTAATTTGGAACTTCTACTCAGCACGCACACAATAATTCTGTTACATGTTTTGGGAAATCTGCCTGCATTCAGTAAAGGCAAACCATTCATACAGTTGTGTTAAGATTATAAATGACCCTCCTTCATTCCTTCACAGGGCTGCGTAGAGAGTTCTGCATGATTCATGATTTTAAAACCCAGTGTTCTTGTTCATTCCCTTGTAGAATATCTTAACCTGAGCTCCAGAGCATTGTTAAAATTAGATTCATGTGGTCTATTCTGTTCAAAAAGGAGGACAATATACTACGACAGCAACCAGAAGAAAGCTTAGCATAGCATCTTCATGGCCAGCAGGTATATGATGGCACATACTTTCAGGGACTCAGACCATTTGATTCAGTTTGCAGGAAGAATTTATAGTTGTGTTATCACATGGATACAACAGCCATCCCCTTACCCACCCACACATAGACATGCAGACACACAAACACACGAATGGGCTAAGAAGAAGGAGAAGCAGGAAGAAGAAAAAGATCCTTTTAAAAAGCCAAGGACTGGGAATAATTAACAGCTGTTTATAACCCAAAACACAAACAAGTTCCCAGAATTGTTCATTCAAGTTCAGAATTCTGCCCAAAACTGAAAATATAGTTTATCAGTTTTGAAAAGTTGGTCATTTTCCCTAATCTGGGGAAAAATCTATTGCAACCGCTATACGTTCTAACTCAACAGATGTAATTTTGGGAGTCAAAATAAACGATTACAAAAGAATCTTGCTGTTAAAAAGTAAATTGGTTAACATATATCTTCATACGGGCTGCAGCTCTTGTCTTCAAATCTACCCTGAAATAAATATAATCAGAAAACATGTCCTGCTTTTGTTGGAGAACCAAAACCTTATTAGCACACAACAGTCTTTAAGATGTTACAAAATACAACTTGAGCTGACCAGCTTCAGAAACAACAGGGAAGGACACAAACATTATTAAGAACAGAATGTATGGCTTCTATTAATAAAGAAACATGCTATCATTATGCTTTTCTGCTAAAACTAGAATGAGGTCATATTAAAAATGGTATGAATCGGAATAAAAGTTCATCTATAAAGCAACTTGCTCAGACAGAGAGTTAGGAGAGATACACATTGCTATTCAAATATATCCCAGGTTCTTACGGAATATCATCAAAGTACTCCGGAGATGGTATTTTCTCATACGATAATGCACGTGAAAGCACGTTGCTCTGAGAAGTTATGCTAGCAATGTTAAATTCTCCAGAATGGTAATATTTGTGAAGAATTGGAAGAAGCACCCGAGTTGCACGTTTATCAACAGGACATTTGCTAGCTGTGTAAGGTAACAAAACTAATGCCAACATTATTATCACCACCATCTTGTTCACTGATTTAGAAAAAATGATAATGGAGAAGATCTTAGTGCCACATCTTGATTTAACTGATTACTTTTGCAAAAAGCAGTCCTGAAAAAGAAAAAAAAAAGCTCTGATCATACAGATCAATTGTTGGTATGGAAAAATCTATTAAACATGATATGTAGTTTTCCTAAAAGCTGTCAGTTTAATTATGGTTATTTTAATAATAATTATTTACTCAAAGCTGCTGTTGCTTTGCAGTCTTAGGTCCAGAGTAAGTCAGTTAACTTTTTTGTGGCTGTTTAAACCCATGGATAAGTTGTGATCTATATCTTCTATCAAGTTAAATAAAAATTAAATTTAACACTTTAACTCATACTACTCTAGGAAGTGTTATATATGACTTCATTCATTTTATTTGTTTAACCTTTGTGATTGTAGCCACAAATATTCTCCGGGGACACATAACAGTGAGCCTGAAAATTATCACTCACTTGGTTTTTTTACATAATGAAAGCCAAAACAGTTTGGTAAGATCTTCATTCTTGTTTCATTGTATTTGACATGGGAGGAAAACAGCAATTGAAATCAATCTAGGAATCATCCTATGAAGAGTTGAAAAAGGGGCACGTGAAAGTAACAATCAAAAATTGTGCGATTTATGCTGAACTAACTTAAGGCACAATTAACTTCTTTCAAGAACTAGCAAAATCCTCTATGGTGCTAGGATACATGTGAGGCAGTGCCAGCATTGAAAGATTTCCCACTGAAATATTCCTTGTATGAAAATATGCCGTACTGGCCAAACTAGAGAAAAAATATATATTTGTTTATTTCTTATAATTAATCTTCTACCCATCGCATCTAGACGTGACTATATGAAATATGAAAAGAATTGTGGAATATCCCAGGATTATAATAATGATGATGATGATAATAATAATAATAATAATAATTGGTCAGCACCAGGTGAAGATGAACTGCATGGGTTTTGGTTGAAACATCTAACTGTTATACACCCACTCATTGCCAAGCAATTCAACAATATACTACAAGGAGGAGAAATTGAAAAGTGGCTAACAACTGGGAAAACCTACCTAATAATGAAAAATCCAGCAAAAGGGGCAACACCAGGTAACTACAGGCCAATTACCTGCTTACCAACAACTTTCAAATTACTAACTGGTGTAGTAGCTGATGCAGTGCAACAGCATCTAGTTGAAAACAATCTCTTTCCACCTGAGCAGAAAGGAAACCGCCCCAATAGCAGAGGAACAAAAGATCAACTCCTAATAGACAAAATGATCTTGGAAAACTGCAAGAGAAGGAAGACCAACCTGAATGTGGCATGGATTGACTACAAAAAGGCATTTGACTCTCTGCCACATGATTGGATAATCAAGTGCCTAGAAATAACAGGAGTAAGTAGAAACATCAGAAAATTTGTGCAAAGATCGATGGCACAATGGAAGACACAGTTGCAGATCAATGGTGAAAAGCTGGGAGAGGTTAATATCAAGAGAGGAATATTTCAAGGAGATTCATTATCACCATTACTATTTGTTATTGCACTGTTTCCTCTGTCAACAATACTGAATAACTCAGGACATGGCTATCAAACATCAAAAACATCTGCTAGACTATCCCACTCCTTTACATGGATGATCTGAAGCTGTATGGAAAAACATCATCTGAAATAGAATCGCTGCTCAACACTGTCCGTATATATAGCCAAGATATTGTAATGGAGTTTGGCTTGGACAAATGTGCCACACTTACTATCAAACAAGGAAAAATAGTGAAAACTGAAGGAATCAAGATGCCCCACGAAAATAACATTAAGAGTCTGGATGAGGAAGATTACTACAAATACTTGGGTATCCTTCAAGCTGACAACATCAAGCACACTGAAGTCAAGAAAAAGATTAGAGGTGAATACATCAAGAGAGTGAAGAAGATCTTAAAATCCAAACTCAATGGAGGAAATACCATAAAGGCAATCAACACCTGGGCAATCCCAGTCATTAGGTACACAGCTGGAATAGTGGACTGGACTCAAGCAGAACTAAAAGCAATGGATAGGC